TGGGACGGTCTTTTCCAATTGGACCTTGTGAAAGAACTGCACCAATGGCAAATGCACTGGCATCGGTGGTTAGGACAAAAGTTTCCTCGAAATTTGGATAAATGAGTATTGGGTCACGTATTAGAGCGTTTTTAAGCTCATTAAATGAATTTTTGCATTCTGGATTGAATACGAAGAGTGGGTCTTTTTGGAGAAGTCTAGTTAAAGGTTTTGAAATCTTAGCGAAATTGGGGATAAAACGTCGGTAGGAACCGGCTAAACCAAGGAAGGATTTAATGTCTTTTGGTGATTTTGGTTCTGAAATTTTTTGAATAGCGTCTATTTTCTCAGGGTTGGGTTTGACTCCATCTGGGGTCACCAGATGCCCTAAATAAGCTACTTCCTTTCGAAGAAATTCACACTTGTCAGGTTGGAGTTTGAGGTTTGCACCACGAAGGCGTTTGAAGACATCAGTTAACCTTTGTATATGTTCGTGTATGGTAGCGGAATAAACGATAATATCGTCCATGTAAACGAGACATCGTTCGTTTTGAAGACCTAAGAGAATGTTGTCCATGACACGTTGGAAAGTGGATGGATAATTTTTTAGTCCGAAGGGTAAACGGAGAAATTCAAAATGACCATTTTCAACTGAAAATGCAGTTTTAGCAACGTCCTTGGGATCAATTTGAATTTGGTGAAACCCAGAGGCTAGGTCCAAAGTAGTGAAATATTTACATCTGCCTAACTGGTCTAAGAGATCGGAAATATTGGGAAGAGGGTATTTATCGTCGACAGAGACTTCATTTAGTTTGCGATAGTCGATGACTACGCGCCATTTTTGTTTCATAGAAGCGTCTAATTTTTTTGGGACAACCCAAACAGGGGGAGACCATGGAGAAGTGGAAGGTCGAATGATTCCTTGTTCGAGCATTTTGTTGATTTGTGACTTTACTTCTTGTTTGTGGACATGTGGGTACCTATATGATTTGGTAAAAATCGGTCTGGCGTTGTTCGTTTCAATAGTATGTTTAATTTCATTAGTAAAACTTAAATGATATCCTTCTAAATAGAATATATCAGAAAAATCAAGACATAATTGAGTTATTAATTCTTTTTCTTCTTCGTTTAAATGATCGGTGCGTAACTGGGATTGAATTATACCGCGCCTATCAACAGGTTGAGGATTTAAATTGAAAATATTATTTATTTCTTTTTCGTTAGGATTTGTATTAAAAGGTTCGATAGATAAATTTGAAAAATCTATAGTTTTTGGGATTGTATTAGCGTTAATAACAGTAGTAAAAAATTCACCTTTGTTATTTACTTTAACTAAAGCATTAGGTAACCTAACTTTTTCACATTCTTGAGAGTGGAGAATAGCGTCTGTGTTTGTTAAACTACATTTTAATTTGAAAATTCTTTCGGTCCTAGGTTCGATTGAAATTCGATTTTGAATATTTTGTTCAGGTTTTTTACAAATTTGGGGAAGAACAGATTCGTGTCCTACTTTATGCAAAGGCATTGTTTTGAAATTCGTTATAAGTTTTTTGGACTTTAAATCGATTATACATTGGTAGCGATCAAGAAAATCTAAACCGAGAATTCCGTCAAATTCGATATCAAGATCGTAAAGATAGACTTTATGTTTGTCGTTATCGGTGAATGGAATAAGTGTGGATTCTTTAATAGAAAGTGTTTGATTTGTTATACCTTGGATGGTAATATTTTCCTTAACTCGTGTTCTGTAATTTTCAGCGGTTTCATATTTAAAGATAGAAATACCTGCGCCTGTATCTATTAATATTTTGAATTTTTGCGTAGCGTCAAAAATATAGTATAAATTTTTAGAATTTACCGTAAGAAGAGGGTTTAACAGAAGTTCTGTTCTGGAAAGTTTAGATTGGGATTCATGTTGTCTAAATTCAGGGTTTGAATTTGGGAATTGATTTCGAAAATCGGGTCTGGAGACATTTCGTCTGGTGGGATATCGTAAGGGCTTTCTTGAAAATCCTGCTCTGGTTCGCAGTTTTCTGGATGGTTAGAATAATGATTTTGAAGTTCATTATCTTCTTGAAGAGTGTAATTTTCATGTGAAAATTCCTGGGAATTTCCGGAATAACCGTCGATGTAGATCGGGTTTGAGTTTACATGATGAGTTCGCTGCGGGTTTGGATTCATAAAATGTGGCTTAGGATAAGAGTTTGAAGATTTCATCGGTATTTGATTCGAGTTGTTGCTAATGTTGCTTTGTTGGAACCAATTAGAAGGTCGCTGTGGATATTGCGAAAAATTTGGTTTGACATGCTGATGCGTACTTCTACATTGATTTGAAGTATGGCCAATTTTATTACACAAAGTGCATTTGGGTTGCTGAAGAGGGGTTCTAATATTCGCAGAATGCGATTTAGGAGAATTTAATTTGACAGATTTTTGATTTTCAAAATATGAGAGTTGGAGTTCTCGACGAATCCTTGCTTGGGCTTCTAAAAGTGAAGTGGGATTACTAGCACGAATGAGTTGACCTAATCTAGGTTCTAAGCCTGTAAGAAGTGTATTAAGGGTCATAGTCTCAATTAAAGACATCTGAGCATCCTTTTGCTCTTTGGATCCTAATGTGGTGGATTTTTGAACACATGAATGCATTTTCGCATTTAGGACTTGAAGACGATTGAAAAATGTTAATGCTGATTCATTGGGCAATTGTTTAAGACGTTGAAGGTCATGAATTAGGGAAGGTAAATCTCTAGAATCACCAAAGTGTAGAGTTAATAGTTTCTTTATTTCTAGATACGAATCAGGATTCCTAGAATTAATTAATTGAGCTGCTTTACCGCGGAGCTTATTTTTAATGTGAATCACTAAAAGAATTTTTTGTTGCGTTGTTGCCATATTATAAGCACAATCACACGCGTTTATAAAATTTCCTAAAACGATTTGGTCGCCCTCAAATTCAGGTACGATACAGAAAATTTCCGAAAGTTTATATGGTTCAACTTCCAGCATTGTACTAGGTTTGTCTGATTGAGTTGCCATTATTTTAGGTTTTAAGAAAAAGCAAATAAATTTATAAGAAGTTCAAACACAATTATTTTTTGTTTTAAATATTGCCAAGTTAAACTTGGAGACTAAAATTTAATCAAAATAATTATCGCGGAACGATTCTACGTTGGGAAATTCAATAAATAGGTAATTTTCAACCTTGGGTAATCGAACGTAATAAATTCAACAATGTTGCAAATTAAAAATAAAATTATTCGTAACGATTCTTAACACTTACAGTACTATTTTCATTGCTGCCTTTCGAGACGGTTGATGGGTTTATCCTTGTTCCGGTACGATGGGCTGTCTTCGTTGTTCCCTAGATTTAGGGGTCGGAATCTGCCGCCACTAGTTAGAATACTCGTGTTCTAGCAACGTGAACAGATCCTACTCCGAATTCTTCCCTCTCGAAACGGTGATGGAAGGTTCCTTGTTCCGGCACGACTGGGCTGCGATGGTTCTTCTTTCCGTCTAAGGGATTGGAATCCGCCGTCACTAGTTAGAATACTCGTGTTCTAGCAACGACTGCGCCAATTTTTATATTTCACTTTTCAAAAATAACTTTTTAAAAAATATATTTATTAACCTTAAATTAAAATTAAAATCAAAATGAAATTGGACGTAATAACCTCGTGACGAGAGAATGTTATTAGACCGTTAAAATACAAGTAAAAATGGACATAATAACCTCGTGATCAGAGAATGTTATCAGACCGTTAAAATCAAACTAAAAATGGACATAATAACCTCGTGATGAGAGAATGTTATCAGACCGTTAAAATCAAACTAAAAATGGACATAATAACCTCGTGATGAGAGAATGTTATCAGACAACGTTTTACAATAGAAATTGGTATTTATAATAAATTTATGCTGACGTTGACGGGGTCGACGGCTGCGGATGTTGCGACATATCGTTGACACGACGTTTTGGCAATCGTTGCACTCTTGCAGGTCGGTGGCATTTAACCCATATGGACAATAGGATTTCCGGATATAACATATATATATATATATATATATATATATATATATATATATATATATAAACACATTATTATTGTGAGATACATACGATGATATTGTACTGGTTGCGTTTTGTTTAATTTTTTTTTTCATGTACAAAACTTAACAATAAATCAGTCTTCAATGTGCTAATAGGGCTAATAAATTCAGACATCTAGCTACGCGAGCCCAGAATTTAACTTACAATAACTATAGCAGTAGATAACGCACAGAAATAATTAATGTAATGAAATTAATAAAAAATGAAAGCGAAGTCTTGCTTGCTAATAAGTTATATGTTTATCGATAAAGGTACTTTTTAAATTTCGTCCTCAACACCAGCAACGACTCGGCAGGATCAATTAAAGAAAAATACTTATTATGTAATGATGCAATTTGGTATGAAAAAGACCCTTTAAAATGCTCTTTTCGATGTTGCGGTACGATAAGGGGGTCCCGCCTTCGAAGATTTAAATTATGAACGTGGAAACCATACATCAGTCTAAGACAGGACTATACGAAACTTGTCGATATTATTAAGGCGATTCATAAAAACACTGCTGCAATGATTAAATTGAGATAAAACCAGTATGTCACAAAGCAGTTTCTTAGTGTCTTGTAAGATAGATAGCAAGTAGACTAGTTCAAATTATCACGCGTTCTAATTTGTATAAACAGATGAAAGATGTATTTTTATTTTAGGCTACTTTGGATTTTTTTTATTGTCATAATTTAAAACAAATAAGCGAATGTTTATATTTTAGAAAAAAATATTGCCGGATAATAATATATGGCAATAACCTTCAAGACGTTGAGGTGTAATTGCCGCAAATGATATGAGTGGTAAACCGCATTTACCGACTCATGAATCGGATGCATCAGACACAAGTCGTTACCAACACCGCACGCGGTTTACTTAGCCATTTATTACCGCCTAATGGGGTTCGATTAACCACGTATGTCTTCGTTTTCAGACGCTCCAAAGAAGGCCTATCTCATGATTGACAACAGAATCCTGGATCCCGGCAACCCCTTCATCCCCGTCAAGGAGAACGCCGACTTAACTGTGTCGTGTGTAGTCGACGAGGGCAACCCCAAGCCTTCTCTGACTTGGGAGCTTACATTGGGCTCCTTGGCTTTGCTCGATGCACCTGAAGTGCCCCTAGAGGTACTTAACTTGACGGAGACGGCCGTTGACCAAAAGGTTCGTTCAGTTATATTCCACTTATTCCGATGCTTCAATGGTTTCAATATTGTTGTTACAGGTTGGAGCTCGAAATGACGCTCACTTGGCAAAAGTGCTCAGAGCGCATCACAACGCAACCCTGACATGTTTTGTGAGGCATATAGCGTTGGAGAAACCCCTGAATGTATCAGTGCTGCTCAATGTTCAATGTAAGTTAAATGTTCCTTGGGATTCGTTTTCTTTCAAGGTTAAAATCCATTTTTCATTTTCATGCATATGACACATTGTTTAGATATGTATTAATCAATCAGATAAGAAAAATGAAAATGGGAGAGGGCAGCGCATCAGTTAAGGAAACAATCAATTGCCGCTTAAAGTAGCGCAAGAAAGAAATAAAAAGCCGAAATTCATTTTCCTCGAAAAGAACAATTGCTAAGACTGTGCAAGTATGATGTTTTTGGCTATGGACGCAACCTCTTTTTCGCCAAGATAAGTACGGGCGTTGATATATACAGAGCAATTGAAGCACCTTGTAAATGTATATTTTATTAATATTAAGTTAATGGTAAGTAGCTTATTCGAGGAAGTTTCGAGTAACTGCTGCATCATGTAGTCCAACATTGTCTTACTGTTGTCTACTAACTGCACGTTACGTCTAAAGCAAAAGTGAAGTTCGTGGCTTTTACTATGTCTTTGTCTAGATATTTGCCATTCTTAACACAAAAACCAAAACGCCTCGAGTTTTGCCTCAATGCCAGTTGTAAGTGGCCATGAAAAATGGTTAATGACAATAGCGACCGAGGACAGTTCATGTCCAAATGCCGATCTCTAGGGGAACTAAATCTTAGGAGTCTTTACGATCACCGTTTGTTCTTAACGCCCCAGTATATAGCGACCTCATTTGAAATATTTCAACTTTCCAATAGACTCGGCAAATTTTCCGGTAGTTCATCCCAAATGCAATAAAACTAAATAGCTTTAAGAGACCTAAAAAAGTTAGTAATAAACTTATTTGTAAATAGACTGGAACAAGAATTTTATCATTTACCATACCATTGTAAAAATTTAAAGTTTATTTCCGGAAGGTGTAGACTCATAAAGCGCCATTAGACACACAAATGAACTACAGAGTGACCCAACATACACTTAACCTACTTTCATTATTTGTCGTTGATTTCATTACAAATTCAATCTTTATATCACGTACAGGTAGTGCCGCACGATTTTGAGTCAATTTATGGCTTTTAAATAATATATAGAAAATGGTTTGCTTGAAAGTGCTAGATTTTGCTTTTATTTTTTTTTACACGACGTTGCTTGCTAATGCTACAAGGATTATATACTAGACTACGTGAAGGGTGCAGTTAAGGACATTGATAGAGCTCCCTAGGTGCTGTCTGCATAATTCTTACTATCAATTCAAACATAAGTTTTACTTGATAAGGGGTAGTGATGCATCTCCCCTAAACGTTGTGTAAACAAAAACATAAAGACAATGAAAGTTCGACAATCTCTTCGTATCTCTACTGAAAATGGTATCCTGGGCGGATACTCGTAAAATGGAAAAAGCAAAAAATATTTAGTTTATGAATGGCTTGATGAAACAGTAACTTAGGGTATTTCGTTTTGAGTGTCTTGCTGTGTCTTGCTAGAAATCCTTTCACTTGCGCCCATGATGTTCGTGTAAATCTGCTATAATGTAATGTATCCTACTAAATTATCTTCATATTCAATATTGTGGTCTTGCTTTCTTCAACACGAAGTTGTAGTCTTCGCTGTGCATCGTTATCCACACTACTACTGAATCAGTCGTTTACAGATATTTTATCATTTCCACGTGACACGACTTAAAAGCAGATTAGTAAACCTTCTCTTCAAAATTTCACTTCACTTGCAATATGGACGATTGTTAGTCTGTTTGTTTTATTTTCGTGTAGACGATGACAGACCTCCCGCAAACAGCTTCATCGCTTTCCAAAATTGCTTTACTCTCACGGTTTTCTTAGGCAAAATCAATATTTTTTAAAGTGACCCCTAAAAGTTTTCTGCTGTCATCCTGGTTACTCTCCATTAAAATCTTATTTAGGATGGATTTCATTTTTTTTTAAATAAAGAGAATGAACTTTTCGGGGAATTACAGTTTTAAAGTATACACTTTATGTTTGTGTATTGACTATTGAGAGTTATTGAGAAATATTGGAACATCTTTTCCTTGATGTGAATGTGGCCATTTTAGTACTTATCTTATTAGTACTGCGAACGTTATTGCTTAATAAATATACTTAGAAGGTTTTGAATGCTATGTTCTTAAAATTTTATTCATTTCCGTTTACTGCTGCTAGTCATATATATCAATGAAATTAATACTTCCAATGATCCATTTAAATGCCGTATAAACCTTTGGGAAAAATATTTTATAATTGTGATTATGGATACGGTGACACTTGAACAATTAGCAAATTTGACAATGACGCCTTAAAATTGAACCTTGATAATTTGGTCAATTGGTCAAAACGTATCGATGAATTGCAAGGAAAAATTAGTGCTGGACTGTTCGTTCTACTGCGACTAAGAAGATTGATTGTTGATAAGTACACTTAATTACTTAGAATGAAAGTGAATAGGGCGCACCTAAATGAATCCCTGAGAATTTAAATTTTTATAGGATGTGGAAACAAAGGGAGAACTCAAGAAGAATTTTCTAATTTATTTAACTCAAAATATCCAAAAAGCCCCATTACGAAATGCACAGTAAGTAAACAATAGAGAGAAAACAATACATGTCAAAGAAATTATTTGATCAGATGTTGAATATGCTCATCATTACCTTCTTAACAATATGCTGATCGATTTGAAAACCCTTGCTAAACATTACTCAGGAAGTTTTAGTTAATTTGACCTAATTTCGAATATTTAACCGATCTAAATTTGATGGTTTTTCTTTATTCACGTTTGATTTTACGAAGAAAAAATCGGGCGGAGTAATATCTGAGATCTTGCAGGCCATTCTATTGATTCCCTTCCACCAATCCACTGTTCGTGAAATGCCGCATTGAAATATTAACACGCTTGTCAAGCAAAATGGGTTGGAACACCATCCAATCTGGCACGCCTTATTTCCAATTTAAATACTGGTAGTACCTAGATCAAAATAAAATTTCCGTTTTTTTTTATTATGTCATTTATGTATTGTTAAAATGTATTTAAAAAAATGGTGTTCCATTAAAAAAAAGGACAACAAGTAACTCGGACAAATTCCTGCCCCGACAACTGTAAAGTTTCCATTCTACATTTTATGTTGTACTGATTTCAAAGTTATTTGAAATCTTCTAAATTCCTTCTATATCGGTTGTTGATAAGTGAAACTTGCTGACGTTTCGCTAGTCATCCTGTTTTCTTCAGAGCTTAACTGAAAGCATTCTACGCTACAACCTGCTTATGCAGTCTCCACGTAAATGATGGCACCCCCCTTTTAATTTTTGTACCCTTGTATATATCACAGTGAAATTTGGCACGCACGTATAAAATTAAAATATCTAATTGTTGACATAAAAAAATATCTCAAAATATCAAAATGACAGCAGTATTTTTTTATATAGAAAAGGAAGTCATGTGATACCTCTTTTTAGAAGTCTTTCATGTTCTATTCGTATACTAATTTTGAAACTATTAAATCAGTTTTGCAAGACAATAAAATTACATAAATGCATTTTTAATTAAAATTTAATTTAATACAAATAATAATAATTATTGTAAGCTTCCGAATGTTTAAATGGAATGGTTAAATGATACTTTTTCTAACAGGTGAATTGGAAGACGACGCCCCATTGAATGGCCAGCTCGGTCGCCAGACCTAACACCCCTGAACTTTTTTAGGGATATCTAAAACGTATAAATTTATGCTACCAAATCAAATTCAGTTGAAGACCTGAAAGACAGACTTCAACATTGTTGCAGTATAATTCTCCCAGAAACTTTGCACAATGATAGGAACGAGTTTATTGTCAAAATGCACAAGGTTCTACTTTCCAACGTTTCATAAAATAGTTGATAAAATGTTGAAGCTATTCATAGTTTTAATTTAAGCTACGGTTATGTAACAGAAAAGTAGTAAAACATTTGGAAGCATTCATTTGACTGGCTTGCAAAAACAAACTAATTAAATGCTTTTAAAATTGATATGCGAATAGACGTAAGGTATCACATGGCCCCTCTAGAAATGCTGCTGTCATTTTGATATTTTGAGATATTTTTATAATGTCAAAAATTAGATATTTGAATTATATACTATTATATACCAAATACGTAAATTTTGTTTTAACATATTTCTTAAAAACTTTTGATATGTGGTTAGTAATGTTTTGAATATAACAAAGAACAACAATGGCAAGTGTGGGATTGCTTTCGAACTCATTATCTTTGGAAGGTTGTGGTGAAGTATATTTGGTGCTGAAACGCTTAATATTTCTAATCTGAACTCGGTTGAGATAGCTTTACTTCGCTGTAAGCGGAAGAGTTGTAAGAGGAGAGATGATTTTTGGGCCGGATGGTGATGTAACATTACTTTAAAGTATCAATCTGTACCGCGTAGGTTTTCTATAAACAGAATGACTAGTTAACTCCGATTTTCGATTAATAAGAATATCTAAGAAAAATATCTCAGAGGGATTCTTAACCATGACGTCAAATAAAAAGAATGCCATCAACGTAGCGCAGCCTTTGAAAATGAAATTCGGCAGAATTAATGTTTCTGTCGTTGCATATTATATCTTTTAGCCAATAAAGTGTATTATACAATAATAATAATAATTATTATTATTATTATATTATAAATTTTGCCTCCAAACTTCCTAGTGCAAGCTTGCAATAGGATTCAGGAATATGATATATTCTTTGCATACTAACTAAATATAGTACCTTAACCAAAAATTACTTGCGTAATCCTACATTAAAAATGGGTCAAATATGAAACAAAGTATATTTTCACTTATTGATCACGTTTTTGAGTTATGCCTGAAGTGGACGCTCATTTTATGTTGATTTAGTTTGGAGAAAGTCAGTTAAAGTACCTAAGTTCTAGTATTTTCCCTGCTATGTGTGAAAAATGATTGTATTCTTTTTATACAATGAACGGATGAAACATGAAACAAATCCATTTAGGAATCACGTATGGTGAAATGTATTTTGTGATGGAACGCTCAATATCTGT